TGAGGCTTTGAACAAAAGTTAAGTTTGCTCCATATGTGGAGCAAGCAAATTTCAACTCTTTTAACATTTTAAAAAGGAACAGCAGCATGAACTTGTACATGTTGGTTTTGCTCATTTATCTGTTCAAAAATTGGAACGAATTTAATTCTAAAATATCTTCTCCCTCTTGTATTGCAGTTCTGAGACTAAGTTGGAGGGGAGAAAGATTTGTAAGGTTGAAGAGATTAAGCCTCAACCTTCCTGAAGAGAGAGGGGAGATCCGGATTGATGGAGCAGGACCACTTAAATGTAAATTCTGGAGGCCTATTTCCAACCCAGATTCCTCCTCTGACTGTGAATCCTCCTCCAAATCCCCCAGCACGGTTCCTCCCCCATCATCTTGCATCTCCCTTCCTAATGAAATTTGACCTGGGGCATTTCCCTGCCTAGCACTGGTCTGGAGCAAAGACTCATGCCCCAGCAGCTGGATTTCTTGACTTTAACCTGCTAAGAATGGAACAGGCTTAGATTCTGCTCCGAGGCTTTCTCTCTGAGTTTCAGGAGTTACAAATCCAGCCTGGTTTTGTTCTGCCCTTAATCTTTCTTCCTGCCTTTGATGTGTCAGGTTACCTGCAGACAGAGAAATCCTCAGAGCTGGGAAAGGCTGCCTACCAGGTTTGAGGCTTTGACTGCATCTCTAAGACCCGCAAGTAAGTCTTTTGAAGACCACTAACCAAAATCTTGGACTGAATATAAACACATCTCTATTGTAGTCCAAATTTTTAAAATTTTTTTTTCTTAGTTGTTGATCTTTATTTTATTTATTTATACATGGTGCTGAGAATTGAACCCAGTGCCTCACACATGCCAGACAAGTGTGCTACCGCTAAGACAGCCCTGCAGTCCAATTTTTTTGTACATTTTTGATCATACTTTTAGACAGGTCAGCTGAAATGCAACCTTCAAATAATTTTCTACCAAGCCTTTCCCAAGTATACAAATCAAGCGATTCCTCCTCACAAAACCATGGACAAATGTCCCTAATCATTTCTAAAAACTGAGCGAGCTGGGCTCTTTTTATATCTTTTACTCTTTGTTTAATTATCATCATCAGAATTGCAAAATAGATCTCCCTTTCTGAAAACACAGAATTCCCCATGCTTAACAACTAACTAACTTTTCTCTCTACTTTCAAAAACCAATCCACAACACTCTGAAAAATATAAGTGCAATTTTCCTGTGAGAGAAAACCAGACCCACTATGTACCTTGAATACACATGATGAGTAGTGCCTGTCCAGGAGCCAACTACCACCCACATCCCACAATGGGTGTTGGAATTGGGATCCCTCTGCGTGGTGTGGCTGGCAGCGAAAAGACCTCAAGGACCTGGAAGTAATTTTTTCACAAAGTAATGTCATAAGTTCCACATAATTATTAAAGCTAATCTTGCTTCATCAAGTTATTGAAGATGTCCATACAACTGTTTCTTTATACATAAAAATTATTTTGACGTAAGTCCTTTAAGATGTCATTGATAACTCTATGTTATATGAACTCTAAATGAGACCACTGTCCTAAACAATACTGTTCACTTATTTTTACCCATCCACTGTTGAAGTACTGATTCCCCATACTTAAATAAACATTAGGTTTACTAATGATACTAACAGTTTTTCATAGATTGGTAAATATAGGGCTATTCATTTTTCTATTTCATTTTTAATTAGTGGTAAAAAACAAAATATCTTTCCTATGCTTATTAAACATGTACTTCCTATTCTAGAGAGATGTCTATATATATATATATATCTCATGCTCCTAGTAAAGGCTACCTCTCTTAAGTTAACTCTGTCTCTCAACTCATTTCAAATTAAGATAATTATGTAAGTTAATCTAGAGCTAAATTCAAAATACAAATTGTTATATACAACTTATTATATACTTCATTTTGTAATTCTGTTAAAGTCAAAATCAAATCATACATTTAGTAAAAATTGTTTCTATTTACCATAGTCCCTTTCCAACTCAATAATGTCGACCTTAACATAGCTAATAAGTAACTTTTGTCAAGTTTCATGACCAATTAAAGATAATAAATCTTTTCTTATTATTAAATACTTGTACTATACTAAAATTTGTCTATGACTTAAAACCAATGATACTATGATACTATGCCAAACTTTTATTAAATTTTAACAAATAATAAAAGGGGGGGAAACAGTACCCTACATGTATGTACTATATCTTAGAAAATATTTCAAAAATTTTTTCTTAATTTGTGATAAATTTCTGCTGAACATGGCTCAGTAAGTTAAATCAGATTTCAAGGGATAGAATCTAAACCTGTCATCATGGGAATGGCTGAAAAACCTGACACAGGAGGGTAAACCTCCACCCACAGATTTCACAGCCATGTAAGATTCACAAGCTGCCAGGTAAGAAAAATCTATGAAGAGACTTCTGTGGATCCATTCCCCAATCCATTCCCATTCCGCCCTTAATGTACTTTACAATGTGGACTGGAAAATCCACCTAGATTTAATGATATTGACTATAATGGTCAGCTACCTATATGTTGATCCCATGGTAAGAATGCTGGCTGGCTAAGGGTATCTTTTGAGGAAAAGACAGAACATGCTGGTACTTAGAATTTAAGACTATACTTATATATCTGGATAGTTTTCAAAATAGAAAGAGTATTGAGATGAAATTTTTCCAGACAGGTCAGTTATTTACATAGAATATCCATCAATGTATTATTGTCCTTATCATTCTACAATAGAATTTGGCACCTTTCCTAAATGGATGAATTGTGCAAATGCCTTGCCAGTACAACAAAATGTCTAGAAATAGTGGATATATTTTAGACTGGTCTCCCAGAATTGACAAAGACAATTATGCAATGATGCCATGACACCTGGAGGTTTTATTGGTAATATTCTAACCTTCAGCAAGGTGGCATCTAGAAGGATGTTTGGTGCCTAATTGCTGCCCCAGAATCTTTGCACAACTGACAGACCTATGCCTGATTTTGTAGGCAGGAATTATAAGGAAGTTCCTGTATGACCTACAGGCATATGTTTAATCTCCTTATGCTTTGTTTATTGGAAATGTGAGTGTTAACAGAAAGTATGATAAATATCTTGTAGTCTGTAAATAATGCAACTTAACCAATTGTATCACTAGTTATAATAGAGGAAAAGGACATTCATCCTTCACCTCAAAGGAGGCTTTGTCCTGTTGCCAGCTAACATTTCAGAAAGGTGGTAGGCTGAAGTTGGTGTTCACGCTTTACAACAGGTGCATGCCAGTTAAACAGATCAAGTGAGCTCTTGGTCTCATGATCCTTGGAGTGGCTACTTTTCTTTTATTCATTGTTTCTATGATTATAGCCTCTGCAGCTGTCTTAACTATTATAACATGTGAATTTTCTTAAAAATTTGGCTTAAAATACTTCACCAAGTACCAGGAAGGGCATAGAAGGCCTATGTGCTTGTTAGACTGTGACAGAACAGGAGTGCACAGGTTCAGTTGATGTGTGAGAAAGGAGGGGAAAGTGGTCAGACCCCTGGGACTAAACTGACCTGACACTTCTAAGATAGTTTGTCAGCACAGGTGTGTCCCTTATCCAAAATGCTTGGCACCAGGAGTGTTTTTGATTTTAGATTTTGGGGGGATTTTGTAATATTCACATAATGAAATATCTTGGGGATGGGACCCAAGTCTAATCACACAATTGTCGAGAGCTATCTGTGGTCTATGTGTGGACTAAACTGGCATGGTACCCCTGGTGTCTGGAAACTTCCAGCAGCAATTCCGCTGGTTAAGACTGCCCAGATACATGTGAATTTCTATTTAGCTCTGCCAGGTTCCACACAGTACCAGAGATGGGGTGATCTGCTGTAGCCACACAGCCTCTCTGAGATGGGTGTGGCCTGCCAAGATGCCAATCAACCTGTTGACTGCAAGACATCATGAAGCAAGACTCCTCCCCTGAAACCTTATCCCTGCCTTTGATGTTCTCCCTTAAATAAAGAATCAGAGCAGTTTTTTTTACGTCTTCTGTTTCAGCTCCTACCAGGACTGGAAGAACCTATCAGACACTCTCTTAAAACAATAATTCTGACTGTCTTTTATTTCTTCATTAATTACTTCAGACTTTATTTTCTCAGGCAGCTTATCCCCTCCTTCACAGGAAAAATTACCCTGGCAAGGTGCTCATACAGAATTCATTTGTTTCTTATACACTTATACACATAGCCTGAAGGTAATTTTATACCATATTTTAACTAATTTTATGCACGAAAAGAATTTCATGGTGCAGAATTTTCCACTTGTGGCATCATGTCAGTGCTAAAAATGTTTTAGGTTTTGCAGCTTTTCAGATTTTATATTTTTGGGTGTTCAAATTGTATCAGTCAAATTAAAAAATATGTATATCCCATGATTCACCAGTTACAGTTTTAGGGCACTTACTGTTGGAATACTCCCAAATGGCACCACATTAAATATAAAGGGGTTATTTTTTTAGTTTGCAAGAACTTCCCACAAACCCCTATGCTGGGATTGAACCCAGGGGTGAGCCACATCCCAACCCTTTTACTTTTTTGAGACAAGGACTTGCTAAGTTGCTGAGGCTGGCCTCCAACTTGCCATCCTCCTGCCTCAGATTTCAAGGGATAGCCTTCTGAGTAGCCGGAATTATTGGTGTGTGCAAAACACCTGCCTTTAGTTGCATGCTTTTGCTGTGTTTGTAGAAAACCAGTGTATGGAATCAGCATTCAGGATAGAGAAGGGGAAGAAGCAATTTAAAGTTGTCAGAGTCATCAAAATTGAGAACATCTTTAGGCTGGGGATATAGCTCAGTTGGTAGAGTGCTTGCCTCACATGCACAAGGCCCTGGGTTTTATTCTCAGCATCACACACAAAAAAATTGAGAACATCTTTCCACTTGTCCTCCTACCTGCTCAGTGTGCCCCTCTCCCAGTGGATGTGGGTTTTGTGTGTTCTCTGTTGCAGGAGGCTGTGAACGTCAAGGACGTGGCTGTGGTCTTCAATGAGGAGGAGCTGGGGTACTGGACTCTGCCCAGAGGAAGCTGTACCAAGAAGTGATGCTGGAGAACTTCAGAAACCTGCTCTCTGTGGGTGAGGACAGGTGTCCTGAGAACTGAAAAGTCAACCCTCTGGAGTACATTGTTTGCAAATATTTAAGACTTTGGGATTTTTTACAAAATTTTTTAGTTGTAAATGGACACAATACCTTTATATTGTTTATTTATTTGTTTTTATGTGGTGCTGAGGATTGAACCCATTGCCCCACATGCATGAGGCAAGTGCCCTACTGCTGAGTCAAAACCCCAGTCCCAAGACTTTGGGATTCTTGAAATGCTTCTCTGAACTTGGGAGTATGGATTCCCTAATTGTTGAGGGACACTTTGTACTTTACTCTTCTCAAATTTCAATTGCAGAATCTTGGTGGGTTTTAAAAGTGATTGGTGAGTTACACCATTTTTTTTAAATGCAGTGGAGTAGAAATACAACTTGTTAGGAATCATGTGGTGAGCCGCTTCTGCCGTTTCTGCAGACTATGGTCGCCATTAC